ACCGATGTTCTAGATTGCGAAATGGGCCGTTTGATTTTAAAACAACATCGATGCAAGGTATTTTCGTTTTACGTCTTGCATTTTTTTTACCTCTGGGCGGGAGTTGAATTAGCCAAATGGGCAGTGCAGATGCTGGGGCCATTTCAGAACAATAAAACGTTGGCATTCTGATGAACAATATTATGCTTTAAGGCCTTTGTCGGACACTTAAGCGCAGGGAGATATTGCAGCTTTAATTTAGTTGCTAGTTTTTACTCAATCTGAAAATGGGGTGGGTATTTATAGCAAATGAAGGAGGTGGCATTAGAAGAAGACGACAGTAATACTGACAATAAGAAATGTTTTTTGCTCTCCGCCGATATTATAGCACTCAATCATCTCAATATGCAGTCTTGGGTTACTATGCTTTTTACGGTTAGAAGACCACATCACCATAAACGGTCTCTAACAAATTGGCCACTTAAAGGAGTAAATAGAGCACATCCACCTAATCATGACTTTCCTATTACAGCACTATTAATCTAAGCAAAAATTTTGACTGTATGATAATTTTATGGTGTGAAATCCAGAAGCTAAAAGAGCAGTTTAAATAGGACGTACAAGTCGCATTAACTCAATACGTGACTTTGAAAACAAACTTATGACACGCATAAGTAGGTCAAAAATTCGTATAATTAGATTGGCCATGACAACAAACTTCCACTCACCGGAATCTCCCAAGGCGTCTCCATCCTCGGCCTCCCCCTCATCGTCTGCCAACGGAAGCGACAACTGCGCGGCAGGCTGCTCCGAGAGATCGGTCAACGGGGTTTCCTTCGGGGGACAGCGGCACACCTGTCGTGGAGCGCCAGAGCTGTCCCGGCTCTCGCCTGGAGGACACTCCTTCGAGCAAATCACAGGCGACATCGCAGCCTCCGATGTCTGTCAATGTGATGCACGCGCAAACGCCTGGTAACGCTTACAAATTTTCTCCATACATAACGAAAGTGCGAAACCAATTCCTTAAATAGTAAGATTTAGAGGCCATATAGTAATAGCCAAGAGGTGCATATAACATCGTACATCTTAATCAAGATTAAAACATCTCATGATGATGATGATGACGGGAAAGAGGGAGAACTGATGGAAAATTCAGACGAAGTATAAAATCACAGCGAAGCTCTCAATTCCGCATACCAAAGCAAACAATGACTTGAATTTAACATGAAAATCCAGCCAACTAAGATCGTGCTCTATTGTAGCCAAAACGTCGGCCTATAGCAACGGAATTCTCAAAGCTTCTTAAGACTCAAGCAACCCAGAATTAGTGAAATATTATTCGCACTTTTGATGGTATCAGTGATGCGGCGAGTACAAACTACTTGAACCCTAATTTGCGTAAGCAAGGTAATATAGGACGGGAAATTAAGTGCCTTTTATGGGGCATACAGGGAAAACCCAGGCACCAATATTATCATTTATTTACCTTTACACAAGTCATCAACACCTGCGGAAATCGCTTTCATCAATTCGAAATCACAAGCGGCAGATCAAGGTAGATAAATTGTGCAGATAAAAAGAAGGTAAGGGCAACGATAAAGTCGAAAGTTGAGGGCTCTAAAGCTTAGTTTTTTGTAACATTCGAATAACAAGGGACAAATAAATGATTTACTGCACATATTTACAAAGAGCATTGCCAGAGACGTGATGTTCCCCTCTTGCACTCGTCCCCATTCCGCATATGCATACAATCAGCAACACGAGTTTTGCCAAAGCAATTTCAAACACGTAGTCTAAGCAGATATCGCCTGTCGCACACAATGGCCCCAACTTGTATTGAAGTCGAAACACCTCTTGTCTTTTTTTAAGGCATGTAGTTTTTACAAGAATCGGTCTCCAGATTACGCAATAACAAGCGAGATGGGAACCAGAGGGAATAATGCAAGCACGAACAGCGGAATGTGAAACCCAATTTCATAATGACTACCAAAGGCATTGGCAAGTATAATAAAAACTACCTCGGAAATATAACCCCGTTGTCAATCATCAGACCTGTATTATGCTGCTGGAGATCTTTGCAACCCTTAAAAATGTTTGATTTTCCAGAGGTTCCAATTGATCGCTAATCTTCGAACATTCCAGGAGGTCTCGATCTCGCCCAGTCCCTCCTTATGGCACAGCCGTAGTCTAATTGTTCTAATAACCATTTGAAGGCCAGGGCTGATCGGCTACAAATACTTACGCGTAAGTGGAATAATCAAAACACAGACTTACTCGGGCTGTCTCAACTTCATAGCCGCCAGGCCTGTACTTACTGACCGTGCCCTCTGCTTACCCGTTACGTAGGTAGTAAAGACGCCTGCATTAAAGTCTTATCTACTGGTTGCTTGGCCAAGGGCTACAATAGGATCCGGTTCACTCGCGCACACCGACACCAGGTTCCCAATAATCGGTGACTCGGATTAAAACGTGCAGTGGACGCGAGGAATGCATAAACATGAGTAAAGTTCTTATTTGATTGACGATTGAATGAACCTTGCCCCAGATGACCCTATTTTATGTCTTATCAATTACTGATCCCTTGCAGGTTTGAATCAGAAATGATCCACATCAAGTTTATGACTCCATATTCACGTTTACGAGAAAAATTCACTGTCAACTGAAAGAGAATCCCAGTCAAGACATGTTGTATGCATACTGCGTCTCCATAGCTTGCATATCATCAGCAGGTACGTCCAAAATTAACTAATGATTACACGTGCGACCTGAAGAGATGCTACTATTCAACCTCAAACATCATCTGCATCTAGCATCATTACGGTGCACTGGGAACGCAGAATTTCCCATCTTTACATCTTGCAAATTCCCTCAAATTAAAACCTTGCCTTTTTGTCTGACTGTACACCTCTTTCACGAAATGATTCAGCAATTTAGTGCTTTAAGTGACATAATAGGACGACTCATCATTTGAAAAATTCCCAAGTTTACCCTAAACTACCATCATATTATATCCGATAATTTAAATCCGATTTCTGTACCACTATCGGGTTTTAGAACCAACTTAGGCCAACAACCAAAGAACGCGGTGGATTGCTCACATTGGACGGACAGTTCCGAGTCCGACGACTAAGCCTTTCTCTTACCCTTATAGACACGGTAGGAGGGATGCTTGCAGTGGCACAACCATTTGCAGGTGCGAAAATACAGCCGATCGTGGCTGAAGTGATTTGTCAGGTGACCCAGCGCTGTTAGTACTTGCCAAAGGTCGGCAAAGTGAGGTAAGGCGTGCGGTTAAATCGACAGGACCCTATCTGTAAGAATGGAATGTGGATCAAGAAGGGGTTCAGAAGACAAAACTCACCGGATCCAGATGCATAGAGGTCTGAGAAAGGACCATCTCAACGAGACGAAAGATGGGCACGTCCGAGCAGTTGGTGGAAGCGGCGGGATGATTTATCTGGATGCGCTTTCCACGGTTGGGCGACACCATAAACAGACGCATACCAAATGGTGACTTAAACTGAACCATGTTGGAGTCGTGAGTTCCCTTTAAAAGGAAGAAAGTACACCCTTACAAACAGACGCCGAAATCAGAGTCGGAAAGCCCACTGAAAGTTCATCAAATGAGGAACTACTTTCATAATTAGAATGAGCGGCAGGTTATTTTATGATAACTACAAAAAATGAGTCCGCGAGTACAATAACAGCGACGAGTTTTTGAGACTTATTGAGCTTTGGACAAAATCTCCTCCCCATATGTCAAGTCAATCACCCGACTGTACAATGATGCTGAGGTTCTACCGTTAGTTTGTAAATTCGCTCTTTGATAGACATTAACACAAATAACTACTTTCAGCTGAAGGAGGCGTCGAAGAGATCCCAAAAAGCTGCGAGATTCCAAGATTTGTAAAAAATATATAATTTATGGTAGTTGCGCATGTAAGGGAACTCAGGAGACAAAAACTCAAGCACACAAGCTGCAGCAACCACGATGTCGATAAGCCAGAAAGCACTAAGACTCTGATCACAACTTAGGTAAAGAAGAGACGTGGAAATTTACGTATTTTGGAAGATTTTAAGTCCCACGCAAATAATACATGCTAAACTATAGTGAATTAGCAGATTTTGGAATTTTATACAAAAGAACCACGGCAGTGAAAAATTGTGGTGATATTAACTGTACGGATGCAACTTGTTAGTTGCGTAAGCAAGAGAATGCATTGCCCTCCCACAACATATTTTAGATATCATGAGATTGAACAGCCACAAATGAGTCAAAAAGCGTTTAATTAAACGTGAGAAAGTAACCCTTTATATAGAGATGGAGGTTTACATATACATATTTTGAAAGATCTTAAGTTTCAGTGGAATAAGTCACGAATCATCTTGGTGACAAACTAAGTTCCACAGTGAACATATTAACAAGATCTGGCGTTTTATGGAATTTTCACGATTGAGAATGATTGCCACGAAGCAAATGTGATTTTGCAGTAATAGAAATAGAGGTGTCGAGAGCTACCACCGTTTTCGTGGGTAGAGTGAATGCAAAAGTGCCACAAGATGGTCGCTATGCTGATGATTCAGTTAACGATGGGTCTTTAGATAGTAACGAGAAAGTAACAAACCATGTGTTATAAATCGGAATCTTAACTGAACAGACACAATTACTTGGGAAAACGATGGAGAGTCGATCATTATTTAAGCCAGTGAGTTTAGACAAAAATGAAAAACGGTCCCGAAACAGATGGATGACTTATGCGTTAGAACTCCCACAGAAAAAAAGATGTTTAAAAGTGTTGTAACGTTTATGAGCAAAAAGCATTTTAACGCATGGAACAGGAAATTTCAAGGAAAATGCTATGAAATAGCGTTTGAAGTTGCTTGAAGGATGCGGCCGAGAGTGCACTGAAATCGTATATTTGGGGGGGAATGCTTTATAAAAAGATTAATTAGCATGCTTCATGATTCCTAAGGAGAATAAACCGGTGTTTACAGCCTATGCAATTGTAACTAGTGAAGAGGAAGACCAAGAAACCCACCTTGATACGCTCGATGACAGTTTCATCGACAGGCACGGCCTCAGAGACCTCGCGCGTGAAAGGATAGACATAGCAGGTTCCGTGAGTTCGCATAACTGTCATAGCATCGTTCAACAGATGAAATATAGAGACGGCAGGGAAGCCAGCGACAGGCCCGTGGGTGATGGTGATGGCGCTGGGCTCATAGAGGAAGCGCTCCTCAACGTCCAGCCCAGGGAAGGGCGTAAGGGCGCGGCAAAAACCGGCAGTGGGCACAGCATGGTAGGCATGACGGTGCCACGGCCAGGCGCTCGAATGACGCATAGCAAAGATGATAAGAATGCATCCGGCGATTGTGGCCAGGATGACGCAAATGAGCATCAGACGGAGAATGAAGCTGCGCGGCCGGCAGAAGCCACGGGGAGAGCGACCTTGGAGTAGATCTCCACCAACTTGAGGTCGAAGAACAAGAGGATCGTCAGGATATTTGCACTAAAAATGGCAAAACCAATCATCTGGTGCATTGTGTAAAAAAGAGGTACGATAGGGCTGTTACGCATGCAAACAAAGGAGTACCCTGGCTAAATCTGCAGTGGTTTCCAAAGCCTCGTATTGGTTTGGTATGCTAAGTCGTGTAAAATGAGCAAATCAAGTTTATTTGGCATAAAAGGCCTCTCATAAGGAAATCCTACGCAAGTCAAAAACCCAAAGTTGTTAAAAAGGATAAATGGGTAGGATGCAACTATTGCTTTATTGCCCGAAATGCATCAAGATACACTGTAGTCGGACGAAAAGCATAGCCTACCTTGTTACAAAGATGAAAGACGATAACTCCTAAAGTGGACACAGGCACATAAGCAAGGGTAAGATTTAATAGTGAAAGCACAAAGCGACCACCAAGTATTGCGAAAAAATTCGAAAGTAAAGTATATTTGAATTAAAATACCCCAGCTTCGACTAGTTTTTCAGCGTCAGACATCGCACCAAGAACGACGTACACCCGCAGATTTCCGGACCTTGGGTATCCGAATTCCCTCCAACACAAGATGGCTACGCTATGTGTTTAAAAGTAATGTTAGAAACGATTAAATTATCGCAAACCCACCTTAATGCACTGCTAAAATGATCACAATAAGGCAGATATCGCCTAATTTTAGTTCCTCAAAATGCACCAACACTCTCTATTTCCATACGTGCAGATGCGTTATACAACATTGAAGATCATATTAACAAAGCAAAGGCATGAATTTGGGGTAAGGACCCAAAGCATCATATTATTCGCAATTTTTCTCACTCATACACATTTCGCGTAGCTTGGTTCCTCAAAAGAGGATTGTAAATAATGCCGAATGCATCGATTGGACTGCGTTTAACAACATTAAATCACTTAAAACAGGATGTTTTATATTCTTGTGCGTGCATATTTCACGTATTCCTTAAAATCAGACTCATTTATGGTAAGTATCCTCTATGAGCAAATTAACGTAGTCTCAACGACACATCATTGCGTCACTAAGGCACAAATTATTTGGTATCTAAAAAATACCACTTTGTTGTCGTTAAATATGACATTGAAGACTCACGAAAAACCACCGTTATTACTTTGAATGACATGATGGGAAATGTCTGCACTTTTAACATGGCCAATAATATTTGCTGCAGAACGTTATTCCAAAATCTGAAATGGCCATCGATAAAACGTTTTGGTTTGTCGTGCATTCTGTGATCTGGCTCATTTAAGTGTCTACGTGGGTGTGTAACGTTGAATGGATGAGGATGGGTTTTGAGAACGTCACTTTTCAAAAAGCCATGATCGAACAATTTCTTAAACGTGTCTATTGTTTCGGGAAACAATTATTTATTTTAAAAATATGCCTCTTCATGGTACTACTCCAGCTGATAATCTACATTTTTGTAATTAGTAAAGCTGGTCATTATAACTTGGGTTTGTGTTTATTGGTTTCCCAGTGAATGCCTCACAAATTGAATTTCATGACGCATGTTCTGTCAGTTGGTAAAAGAAAATTACTTTGTATGTGTATTAGGCAGGGATGCACATGGGAAGGTACTCTGTGTCAGATTGATATCTTACTCTAAGGTGCAAACTGATCATAAAAGTGGAGTAATCTAAACTGTAACTCGTGGCGCATGAGTCGCGACACGCAGAGGCTTCACTCACCCCGTTATGTTGCATGAACTGTGAAAATCCACTACGTAAAGGCACAAACGCACACATTCACCACCATATCAGAGGTATGCACTACTCACATGCCACTTCAGTCATTGGCTGGTGCGCACTTGAGCACGTACTGCCTTCCAGGAAAGCTGGTTCTCTCTTAAAATCCCTCCAGACAATATAGAGCTTCCATTTCTCTCAAACACTCTCTTACGCGTCACTGCTCATAGCAAACTTGTATCGTCTCGGCAGTGCATACTTTACTTTGACAACATTTCTTACCTCTGACCGTGTAGTCGCAGAAATCACGAGCAGCAATGTCCGGAGGTTAGAGTCCTTACCTTAAAGTGTTCATATTCATTACATGTGCATCTGACTATTAAGCTTCTATTTTTTTGTGCTTCGGGTCTCTTTACGATTTAAAATGGGACAGTCGCCTTTGTCTACCAATTCCATTTGCATATTGAAGTTTCACGACAATCTCAATCTTGTTGTTTACAATACTTCACTTTGTAAAATTTCTTACGTGTTCTCAATTATCTAAAAATTGTGAGGTGTTGTTAAACTTTAAGCCTTTGTCGATGCGTTTACTTGGGGTCCGTTTTAATTGTTATTCGCTTCACTATGTTCAGTAATTTTGAACCCCTAATTTTCTTTCGGCCATTGACTGCTACTTTGAATATGGTGTGAATTCCATGCCTCTAAAGATGAACGGCCTTCCTATTAATCGCCTAGTTATACTTTGTTAATAATTCATAACTCTAAATTTGCAAATGCCACTAATGTAGTCTTAGGTAGAAGCCTTCGTAATGGAAAATAAATTTAAGTCCACCACGTCGCCCCCATGTCTAGTGTCCGGGGTGGCCTGCGTTTGGTTTGTGTTTACAATCACCTTAATCTGGCGGTGTTAACGGACATCCAATTTACCTGAACTAACAGTAGCTTTGGTTCTTGTATAGGGCATATTTAGGACTAGTTTAAGTGTAAAAAAACACAAATTTAATCCCAGGAGGTCTTCAGCACAATAACAAAATGGAAATCGGAAGATCATACGGTGAAAATGTCCAACTTACGACGGCAAGACCTCAGGAATCATCCTTAATATACATTACAACCACTAGAAGTAATCATCCACATTTTAGATCCGACAAAAACACTCACTCAGAACATCATTTCTATAAGTGGTCGATTTAACACATTTTTAAAATAGTCTTCATTTGCAGCCAAATATAAAAAATTAATGCAGTTTATTAATCAGGAAGCAAAATGGATATAAGTGGTCCATAAAAATAATCACATTTCCAGAGAGCAACACTATTATTACTAACCATTCGAGATCCACTGCCTCTTTGTGTTGCATTTCTGGTTTTGATTTCTCTGATTGATGGAGGTAAAATCTAGTTACTTTGATTTCAGTAGTTTAACACTCAAGTTATGGTTAAAGCAAAAACATCTGGTAAATTTATCCTTTGCTTTTATTCTTATTTGGCAGTTATGGAATTGGAGCACCTGTTCGCCGACTCCACAAATATTTGCATTTTTTTCAGTATTCCACGTTGAACTGCACATTTGCGGTAGTAACATTCCCAGGTGTTTAATTCACTCATTGCTATTTTTGGTGATTTTATGATTCACCAAGATCAGCAGGCTTCTCATGAAAGCTTGACTCATTTGTATTTCTCATAAGACCGATTACTTATGTGCAGTTTTAGACCCAGTTCGCATTAACCAAATGTAAGCAAGCAACATCTTTCTCGGTACTGGCAGTTTACACTGACGATGCGCAATTTTTTAAGCATCCAAAACATTTGCGTCTAAGTTGAAACCACAAATCTCACCAGTTTTTTACACAATTTAAATTTATCAAACGATGTTTGCAGATTAATTTTGTTAATATCCCATGCCCTTTCCGATTTTTGCAGGAGTTTCGGCCATTGATCGCGAATTGGTTGATTACAAGGTGAGCTGGAACCTAGCAATACCATCTTATGCGATTCTATCGGTGCCATGTATAGTCAACTTTAGGGTCTAAACTTTCTATTCGGAATTTAACTGTCACTGGGTGGTGCGGATCGGATAGGGTGGCAGCTCGATGCCTAATAGGATATAATGAGCTCTCAATTCCATTTGGCTCGTCACTTGCTCACCCTTATTCTTTACTAGAACGTAGATTTATTCAGAGTAGATTTTTTGTCCTTAGGCAATACAGTTAGATAAAGATATTATGGATTTAATGTAATGCGAAATTATTCAAAAGATGTTAAGGCAGCTTAGTATTGGCCAAATTATTTGAGTGGAATAATTACCTGACTCTAAAAGGCGTAGTCTAAAAACCGTGATTAGCATGCCACTCTTGTTTGTTCTGTGTGAATCAGTGAGATTAAAGGTAGATTGCGGGGAATTGCTTGACAGGTTTATTTCAGAATGCTATTTCGATTAGTGCACACCAAGTAAACCTAGTCATAAGTACGCGCGAGCTGAAGTTAAGCTCCATGTGCTGCCAGATTTGCCACCCGTGGCCCTTTGAAAAAGTGGCATTTCGTCTAAGGACCTCACCCTACTAAACTCGTTGTTGTTGTTGTGTTATTTTTGACCTCCACTGACATTTTTAATTATTTCTTAAGGAGTAAAGGCGATTAGTATTTATCTGTAGCATTGTAAAGCCAGCACTTACTGCCAATATCGTAGAATTCGGTGACACTGGTCTGTCTCAAAACGAATTAAGTTCTTTTCATTCTAATTATGAGAGTTAAATAGTACTCTAGTCTGCTCCATGAACCAATGTGCATCCTAATAATATTCCAGTCTCAGATTCGTAAATAAATTGTTACCTTTGGAACTTTCACATTGTCTGAAAGAGTGGTAGAGAAAGCACGTTAATATGAGGACGTCAGTGGTGACAGCACGCCCTTGGTGGAGGGAGGGATGAAGTGGTTAGGCTCAGCGCATTGCATTGGCGATTGGGCGCGCCGGCATGTGTGTTCCATGCCAGCTCTCAGTGTCAATCAACTTGACGTTTACGGGCTGCTCTCTCTGCTTGAGGATGCCAGATCAATTGTGGGGAGCTCTAAAACGCGTTTAGGGCGCTCTGCTTGGCCTCATCCTGGCGATGTCTATGGCATTTTGATCTTGCAAAAGTAGTGCTAGACATTCTGTCCTTTTCCGAAAAACAAATATACCTCCTCTCACTGAACTAAGCTTATCTTTTTTAATTACTGTTAATCGGCTGGGTTGATCTTACACAAAATCTCCCTCATCATGTTGTTTATTCATTGCTCAATGTTAGGATACCAGAATTTGATCGTAGAAATTAAATGGCTTCCAGTGGAGGTTACTCCCTGAATGGTCGTAGAAGTTAGTCTTAAAATTATGTCGTAAAAATAAGATTTGTAACATTGCTTTTCAGCTAGTGGCGAGTGATCTCAAGGTTGGAGTGAATCACTTAGCTCTTGACGAGGAGCGCATTCGACAAGAGCAATTCTTTGAAGGAATTCGCGATCTTCAGCAGCGCATTTCTCAGGTCACCCTCCCAATATTTTTTGAATTATCTTAACACACCCCCAAAATATCTTTAAAATGTGCAAAGTGTGAAGGATAAACTAGTTATTTCGGAAAGTTATTTGCCAGCTTAGGCGCATAATTCTCATTCACATGGCATTAAGATTAAATCATTGGATTTTTGTCACAGAATCCAAATTATCAGGAACGATACGGTGATGAAGTGGAGAATTTGAAAAACGGAATTCGACTGAACGCCGATGTTCTCAGCTACTTGAAGAGCATTACCAAACTCGAAGTACCACTTACGGTTAGTGAAGCGTTTGGTCGGTCTATTCAAATATGCATCCTGTAAATGTGACGTTGATAGTGTTAAAACATAGAACAGAACTTGACTTTTGTTGGAATTCATGTGGACTAGAAAGTAAGTCTAATTTTTTTGACGAACAGGCATGCTTTGGCAGGTGTGTCACTTCACGGACCAAGTAGTAGATGTTCTCAGCAAAATTTACCTGAATAGACCATTTCAAATTGGTATTCGCTTCCCGTCTACACTGTGCAGAGCTGTGAATAAGCGCAAATAATTAATCGTTCACTAAGAACCCACACGAATTAAACATTATCTGTATCAAAAACTTCTTCATTTCGAAGGGTACCGTGCAGCTGGAAAACAAATGCCCGATTGAATGATTATTTTATTCTCTTGAAGTTGTTATTGGCATCAGTGGGTGAGTTGAGCAGATTAATCACATAGTAACTTTCGCAAATGTAATCACTTTCGTGGACTTTTATCACCGACAATCTGTCTTTAGAGGCTACTTTTTTAATTACCTGCAAAAATTGGGGAATCGGCCTCTCGATCAAGCGGAATTGTAGACGCGTTCATGCAGTTGTAGCGATCGCAGAGATTTGTTTAGACTGTAGAAAACTTTACTTCGAATACATCGAATGCTGCATTTCAGGATCTGACAAACAAGCTCACGCAGGCTGCAATCGACGCGAGTTCTCCTAAGGCTGCATCCCAGGCTGTTTTTGCTAATAAGGTAATACATCTGCTACAATATCTCTTATTTGTATGGTGCCACTAATTTATTGTCATTTTATGTTTCTCACCCATTAGCATTAGTGTGTTGTGTTTGTGGCTACAATACTCCTTTGCATTGAGTGCGCAATTTGGTGTTTTAGGCTCTCACGGAAAATGTTAACAGCTGCTGGGAGTATATCGCTCAGTTGTCTTTAATCACTCAAGCCCATCTTAAGGACGCAGCCTCTTATCAACAGGTTTGCATTTTTCTACAAATGGCTAAGTGTTACTAGTTCACGACTTTCAGGCTTTTAACTTCAAAACATCGTAATGTACGAGACCGCGCGTCAGTTTCTATGCATTTCATGCCATTATCCGATTGAATTTGAATCTGGTCATTAACGTACAATACTTCCCCCATACAAATTTCCTAAGATAAATACCAAATATGCTTTTTTAATGCTAGTTTCACCACATGGCCAATGAGGTTGATGCCCACATCGACAAAATGATCGGACTAGCGGAAATGAAGATGGTTCTCTTTGACCCTCAAGGGACTGTCGATGAGTCCACTTTGCTTGCCAAAGAACTCGAGGTTGGCTCTCTTCTACCACCAACATCTTCAACGCTATTTTTTTCAACTGAACTGGTCTTGTTCACGTTAAAAATCCCGTATGGTGCGGGCCTGGTGACTGTTAGGGTGCGGTATGTATGCAAAGAATAGGTAGGGTGGAATTGTCTTTGGATGTTTCATTTTCAGTACTACTAAGTAAGTATTACTGAAATTGAACCTCTTCCTTATACTTAAATCTTATGTAGGTATGGTATTTTCATTACAGTGATATAAGTAGAATGACTTAACACCAGTCCTACCTGCGCATGAAATTTTCAAAGCTAGTTTTTGATAGCATTGCAATTTAAAGTGAGCTTGACAACTGCTAAATTGCCAGGGATTATTCTACTTTGAAAGTGTACATAATTTAAATCGAAGATGCGGTATGATTTTCTATTCAAGATGTACTCTTTCTAAACCAGGACGCGTCAAAATAGCCTAACAAATCAGTTTTAACTAAAGTTTGAGCCTCTATAATGCTGAATGGACGCTTTAATAACACGATGCCGGAAAGGAAAGAAATGTTGAAGAATCACAAAAACCCCTTGCATTCTTACCGATAAAAGATTTGACAAATGACTCACGATTGTTTTAGTAAATCTGTTTTTGCGTTTACAGGCTGATCACGTTGAGTTGGCACGCACGTGGGAGCAGACATGTCAACTCACTGACATGGCGCGCCACATGAAGCCTCTGCAAAATCGTCTATCCCGAGTCGTGTGTGGACGAACCGTGGATGCGCCTGAGAACGCAGCCCAACAGGTTGTCATGGTGAAGGCGCTGATCGACTTCTCAGGACCTGACTTCGCCATACGAAAGGGCGAGGAGATGATCCTAATGAACAACGAAAATCCCAACTTTTGGCGAGTGAAAACGATCTTCGGGGAGCGTGAAGTGCCCTCCCTTATTTTCGCCGCAATAGGCCCCAATCAAAATGAGGTGTTTAGGGCAAACAGGTAGGAGCCATTCCAAACGGTTATTAGTAATACCTTATTCATTATCATCATGCACTACGTAAAGTGGTTTAAGATCAGGAGGAAAATTCGTTTTCTAGCGCGCAGATATAGTTGATTGCACTGCTTTGTTGAGAAATTGTAGAAACGCGCTAACCACGATTTCTCAGAAATCACATGATGCTTAACCGTCGAATTACAATAAAGAAAGAGATCAAAGGAGTATTTTCCGGTTGTAGCACGTGACCTGCAGAAACCTGTAGTGGCATGAACATCAAACTTAGTGGCCTGTCACAAGTGCATTGGTGTACCTGATTCTCGAATTTCCTAAAATAAGGTATTTTTAGCCTTCTAGTGGGATCGGTTCGGTGGCATATGTGGAGCACCACTTTAACCCGTCGAAGTAGACCATGCATTGAACTGGGGCGCATGACCCTCGTTAATCCGAGCTTCGAACAGAAGTAGGGTCGTACTCCACAAAAACATAAATAACCACTATTGCTAGAAACAACGCAATTAATTTTTACGAAAACTTGTTTTGTGGTTTGCAGGCGGATTCCCTGCTTCCCCAGAGTGTTTACTATTCTTCTTTATGAATTCAAAGAAATAATTTAATTGTGCTAAGCCTGACTACTCTCTTACTTTTAAGCCTTACGGCTATGTTTTGAAGTTACCGACCAAACTTTGATCCTATGGAAGGTCATTCACGTCACTGAATAGCTGATTAACAGCAAGTGTGACAAATTGCACCACTCAAATGAGTCTTAGGCTCTACCCAGACCACGATAGAGGCGTTTGTAGTCGAGGGTAATCCACTTTCTGATATGCACAGATTAAAGCAAGAAGGTGTAATGTGGCATTATTAACACCAGAAGCTGAAATCTGTCCATAAACATTTATGGTTCTGAACGTATAGTACTTCTCTTAGCCCATTATTGTACGCATATACTAAGTAGATGGTGCATGTTTGTTTCTTTGAAAATGAAGTGACCTAAATATTGGCATGTATTTCAAAATCTCAGCCTAAACAGATAGGCTGGTTTATTAGCTATAAGATCCGTTCACAAGTGGTTCTATAGCCCTAATGACCCACTAGACACGTGGTTCTACGAGGTTGAGTAAGGGGCGCCTCAATTCAAAATTAGCCAAATAAACAATACACATTTATTATCTTTCTTTGTAACATTCGTTAGCCTCCAAAAAAAGTGTGTCTCCAATTGGAAGCGCGTTTTGGAGCGTACAAAGGGCAGGCTGGTGAAGTACTACGCCACTCTCTTTGAGCGCTGCTGCCAAAACGATGTAGGTTGAATGTGCTGTAATGTGTAACTGCGTATTTTGACTCCCTTTTAATAAAATTTAGCTTTATCTCAACTGTGCGGGTCATTAAAACCAAACAGAGACTCTTGTGTCCATAAAATTAATTTAAAATTTCTCTGATTTTTTAACAATCTTAGCATGCATTTGCGTACTTATCTCAGCGTTTACTTAATCCCTAAAAGACCTTACCATCGGCACCTATCACGTGTTAACCTTTCGAAAGTGCAAATGTTAGTAAATGATTATGTTAACCGTATCAACAAAAGATTAGTCTCTTGCGCCACCATTTTGCACTCTCGGTTTTCGGAGAAGTAACCGCGGAGGCTGTGAACCAAAACAGAATCACTACAGCCGGCATCATCAGTGGTACCCGCATAAATGACTCTGAAATGGTTTTACCATTCAAATGCCTTGCGCGACCAAGCTTTGCATCAAGTGCTATGCTCAAGGTCTTTAATGGCTATCCACAGAATCCTTCGTCACTTCACGTTGTTCCATTATTAGTGTTGACCGGCGTCCCGATTGCATGATGTTTGGAGAAGCTCATGACATTTACAGTGGCTAATAAGAACAGTTTCGGTTTGCCTCACTACTACGTGTAGTTCTGCCATATTAGCATGTCCTTCGATCTGTAGTTGCAAACTGGAACTCAACTTTTTTGACTTAAACACTTCTCGTAGATTCGGAGAAATCCTTTAATAGACTAGTTTCCAACTTAGGATATTATAAGTCGATGTTTGGAAGTGATATCAGCTAATTTTTTGGCAGAATTTTCTTCCTGTGGAAGTGATTTTACTTATCCGGATGTTTTTCATAACTTTAAAATGGGTTGCCTGCCTGGGAAGTTCAGATGTTAAATTTATTTTCGTGTAAAAATAACTCCTCGGTAGCTTGATTTTAGTAGCTAATAAGACTTTAAAATGTAGGATGTGCAGCCCTAGCTTTATATTATCACATAAAGCTTGAAAATACTTGATACTTTTAACGGAAATACCCGGAAAGGATCGTGAAGTATATTCCAGCCTTAACAAATGAGGATTCGCGCATCCCATAGTTGGAATTAGTCAACTTGCTCAATGAATGTGCGGTAGCAACAGGATATTTTAAGGTATTCCACATGGAAATTACTCAATGTACCTCAAACTGCAGGTGGTCTACTTTGCCCACGAAGACGAGATGAACGCCTTCCTCGACGATGTTGACAGCATTCTGATCGCGCCCAACTACGATAGCGGGATTCTCCATCGCGCATACGACAAGTTCACTAACACTCTGATGCTTCTTTCACGTAGGTTTTTTAGCTACTCTAGTCGCTTGCATGACTTATTTGTACTTTTACTAAAGAGAGCACTCAGAAGGATAATGGCCTAGAAATGGTCTTCTTAACAAATAGTTATTACATTGCCGTCTTTGTGTTATATTTGTAGCTAATCTTCCTATCCTGAAAAAATGAGCAACCGTTTTGATATACTTATTTAACACATAGAGCACCTTTTCATGCAAACATAATGAGGCTAGATGATGCAAAGGAATAATTCTTATAATAATATCGCACTTATAGGCATCCACACATGCGCTTGCCACTTGTTTAATGTATGCATCACGCCCCCATATTTTTTGGCACAGCCATAGAGACGTACTTGTAAATCTGGTTAAGAAAAACTATTTTTGATGGGGAGTTCGTTGGCCAAATTTCAATTTGTGCAGTCCTTTAACTAAAGGGTATGTTATATCGCCATTCAACCCTAGAACGACAACGAATTTCTACTGTAGGTAGGGTTTGGTCTCGGTGTGATCATGGTGTGTGCCTGAAATATGACTTGATAAAAAGATTAGCAAGTGAGCTACCACTTGAAAATATGACTGAATCAGAGCTCAAGTAGTGTGGGTGGACTGAATCATGGACTATTTTTGCACGATTATAAAAACGCACAATTTCACGAACGCCTAGACAGCGATAATTGATGGGTCATGCTTTTTCAAGGCCGAATAGCAGAGGGATATGAACGCTGCGATGACTTTGGATTAGCGCAAAAAGTCTAGAACCGTGGACCTGGACCTGGAATGCACAGTGGGCTATGAATTCACTAATGTAAATGTTTTTCAAAGTCTCGACAATATTTCGTTATCCCTAGGTCCACGAAATGTCAGGAGGTTGGGAACATGAATGGCAGGTGTCCAAAATGACTCTGTTGTAGTGTACATTGTAACTATGTTAGATTTGCACGCATTAACCCTCTATATAAAGGTCGGTACGCTCAGTGTCACACAAATCCGGCGTGAGGAGCATAATACGCCACTTCAAATTAATGAATAATTGAAACTGAGTCGATGCATACCAAGGGGTCAGTAATTTGTTTACAATGTCTTCACTGTTTAAAAATACATTTTTGTGGTACGCTAATAGCCAATCGGCGACCTCCGCGTGGTGCGGTGGCACTCACTGAGTCGGACATCCGGGTTCTTCACACACCACTGCGCTTGATACTCAACCATGCGGCCCGCATGGATCAAGTTCAGGCACGAGTCACCATGACTGCTGACGAAGTGCAACGCTACCTCAAATCTGTCGAGGATGAGCGTCAACACATCCTAAACGAGATCACCCGCATGGAGTAGGTCTCTCTCCAGAGAAAGAATTTTAGTGTGAAATATTCAAGGAATTAGGAGTAATTTAAATTGACTGTCTCATGCTAATTTAAAGACAAACTCTAGATTACCACTAGAGCTGTCGAAGAGGTATAGTCAAACATTTCGAATCTAGTATAATCAATGAAGCATTAATAAAATAGTTGTTATTGATACCTTTTAATTACTGATGCTGTTTATTAACGCCAGAACAGGTTATGCTCATACAGGGACAATTCTCCAAAGTTTTGACATCGTTTTTTTTCGTCCTCCAACACTTTCTCATTCGATAAATGTGGTTTTTCGGTTGTTTATAAAGACTCTTAACAGTTTCTTTGAATCCTAGGGGTATTGTTCTCAAATCAATGCTAGATACCATTAAGCATTTAAGACAATATATCTAGAAGAAAACAAAACCTACTGCTTAAGGTCTTTCACGTTCCCTGAAACAAGTGATTTCTCAATAATTTTGGCGTTTTCGTGCTAGTAGGTGGCATTAAATATTGAAATGTTGATCAAGTAATCGGTTCACTTTCTGTCCAAGTGGTTACCGACTACTTCCTTGAAAAATCGTGATGGTTTCATATAAATAACGCCTGGATTTTTCAATATATTTATTATCTGCATACTGTGACCGTAGACTTAAATATGGTTCTTTGTAGGCAGTTGCAAAAGGAGAAGGAAAATCAACTGAAGAGTTTAGCAGATAGAATGGCAGACTGGAAGAGCAAAAGAAAGGCCTTTGATAGGATCATCAGCGACTACACCTCCGAGCCCATCGATGATATTCTAAAACATTTTCCTTCCACCCGCCTTGCAAAACCAAATGTGATCGAAAACGACTACCGCAGTTCCACGGACCGCGATGAAACCGATACCTACGAACCTTCGAATAAAGTCCGTAATGCCAAAATTAGTAGTGAGAGCTCCTCCCTTGATTATGGACAAGTGGCAAAGCAAATGGTAACCTCACACGCTCGTTCCAAGCCAAGTGGAATGAAGTTCGCGGGTGTTGTGACTCAAGAACGTACTGATAGCAAGATCCCGACTGACAACTCAATGCGTCTAAAGAGAAGTGCCAGCACCAATGATCTTCAGACCCAAATTTTCAGGGTCACAACGAGCACATCAGCACAGTGCGATGGGAACGCTGGTATATCTGAGTCGAACGTTGTTTACAACACAGAAGCAAGACGACAAACCCTCCTTGGTAGCCATTCCAACTCTGTAGCACGGTTGAAAGCTGAACTCAATACTAAGAATGAAAAATATCAAAATACCACTGATGTTCAAGCGCAGATTATCCGGGTAACGAAAAACGCCGCTTCACAAGTGGGAGTACGTGTGATGCCAAAGGCGATTGATCTCTCTCGTGTGGACATCGATAATCTCGGCCTGGAGGTACAAAACAGTAGTGAATTAACCGGACTTGGCCTTCGTGTGGGACAAGTTTTATGTCCGGTAACTGTCGGAACGTCGGTGGATTTATTCGAAGGTCCCGGAGTGCAAGTTATGGGTATTAACGACGTTGACTCTATTAATCTGCAATTGAGGGACTCCGTGGCCCATGCAACTACAGATGCCCGCAAAAGACTAAAGGTTCGTGATGTACAGGCGCAAATAGTCTCAAGATCTAACAGTCCAGCCACAGCATCGATTCGAGAGAATCTTCTCGGTGATACTCGGGCCAGAGAAGCCTTGCATCGTGATGTTCAAGCGCAGATTGATATTGTGAACAAGGCTGTGAAGGTACAAGCCGTGGCGGTGATGGAGGTTGTGAATATTTCTTCACAGAAACCAAAGAAACGAATGGTCGAGGGTGCAACCACATCATTCTGTCTTTTGCCTGAAAAGTGCACAAAGAGTATGGAACTTACGACAAGTGAGCCTTCAACTTCTACTGTCATGACCCAAATTAGTTGTCTTTTGCATTCTCGGGGAATCCACACAGATCTGGAATCGTATCTTTCTGACTATAAAAAACGGAATGGGATCATCTCAGAAACGTCTGATTTGTGCGCACAGAAGCAGTATATTGGAAAAGTCATGAACAGGGAATCACAATTTACTAATTCTGTGACAGGAAACAAAGTGTCTCATGGGAATTTGAAATCCAGCGATGCTGAAACGCTTATATGCAAAGTGGTACACGACACCGGTACCCAAGTTTCGTCAAAGCTCGTTCCAACGGAGGTAACCTTGAGTAAGATTAAGACGAAGAACATGGAAGTCTCGTTTGTCAATCCACTGCGTAAAGTCGATCTTGATGTACCAGTTGATTCACTCATTTGTCCTGCTGATATGAATTTCCGATCTGAGCTTTATGAAGGAAGCGGCTTCGAAATAGCTGACTACAGCGGCTTAAGTAACATCCTAGTCACGCACGATGGTTCGATTGCTAGGGGTTCCGTGGTACTGGACGAAACTTCGGTTGATAGCGGAGATTTACAAACCCAAACCGCCGGCAAATTGAAAACACAAGCAGCAATTGTATTACGAACAGATAAAACAAAAAGTGCCATAGGGGAGGTTGTTGTGAGTTCAAAATACGTTCCAAAATTGAAATTTGTGGCAGCAGATATTGCAGCTCCTTCGTTTCATACACCACAAACTCCAACATCTGACTTACAGACACAAATTTGCGACACGATTCGACCAACAGATGCTAATAAAAAGTCCAAAGACTTGAATGTTAATGCGACCGACTTTACTCGAAGGCACAGTATGGTGGAACACGATTACTCAACTAAGTGCAAACTCAAAACGCAGACAAATGTCATTAATATGAGTGACCAAAATATTCAGGTGATTGGTGAGGTAGTGTGCCCTAGATGCCATCAAAGATATCGCGAAATCCAGATGCAGTTCGACTCCGATTTTAAAGCTGATAAAACTAAAAAGTTTTCAACCCAGACGCAAATTTGCAACGTCGTTTCGGATATTGGCACACAATCCAGAGCAAAAGAAATGTGCGATGGGCACACAGCTCAACAGAGGAGCCCAGTATTCATCGATGCTGATATGCAGGTCGCCGTAGAGCTAGTACCAACGGAGATTTCAATATTACGATGCGACATTGAAAATATGGAACTGGAACTTGAGGAGGAGAGTGGTAGCAGTGCATACAAAGTACTAATGAAGTCGGTGGCATGTCCAGCAAAGGTGAAGGTGAAGCCACACCTAGTGGAAGGTTCGGGTGTGCATATTGTCGGAATAAATAACGCAAGCAAGATTGGGGTTACTGTTTGTTCTGATACCACGAGTGATACAAAAAGAAATAATAGCCTTGCAAACGGCATTGATAGTGATGCGTATGGGGAGCTGCAGGCATCTGTTACCTTTGAACCTCCTGTAAGGACGATAAGTCTTTATCAAGGGGAACAAAATCCCAGCAAGTCAACACAGCAAAGCCCTATTCGGCTGATACCGCGGAGACTAGAAAGCCAAAAATCTGTGTCATCAGATACGGTCACTCAAATTTTCTCAGTAACCACAGATGCATCAGTGCAGGTGGGAACGCAGCTTGTCCCTCAGGCCATTGGAATCTCACCAGTGCATTTGGAAAATATGGTGGTCTCGATGACAAGTAAAAGCAGAAAGAGTGACCAGACTCTGTCCGCATCGACACTGCTATATCCCGCCCAGGTTGAACTAAAAGGCAGGCTCATTGATGAACAGAGTGGTATTGAAGTTGTTCCGTTGGAACAAGTTAAAGTTTTAAACATGAGTCGTTCAGAAGTGGATCCTTTGGTCCATTATGCGCACCCTTCGAGTAATTCGGATGCCATTACGCAGATTGAGACGCAAATACCAGAAAGCAAGAAGTCGAACCTCCTTCCGGCCAGTCTTGTGATGGGAACCGGCCAATTCGATGGTCGTCGCAGGACTCCTGAGTTCGCGTCCCAATCTCTTGTTTGCAAGCTTCTTTCTGATGCAAAGGAATATCAGGATTTGACCATTCGGCTCAAGCCCGTGCCCAAAATGAGCTCTGAATGCATTGGCGATGGAGCGACGCAGCACCTTGGATATGTGGCAGTTGAAGCAAAGACACAGAATGCAGTCATGACAACACAAAAATTGGGCGAAATCTACCTTCCTGTTCAAAAGACACCCCCTTCAGACATACAGCGGTCTGTTAAAGTTCAGGTTGGTACAAAGCTAGTTCCCAAAGCGCTTAAGATTTGTCAGATACCTATCACAAATCTTAAACTAGAATCCACGTCTCCTTCACTGAAGGGAAGGCAAAGCTTCTCTCTTCAGGCTGCCCGATGCCCAGCAGAAATTACTATGAAAACAGAACTTTGTGAAGACAGTGGGATTTTTATTTGCTCACTTGATCAGTCAGAAGAAGCTGAAGTTGGAATGTCTAGTGAACCGGTACACACTTTGGACACCCCCCGAATGGTCAGTGGGGAGCAATTAAGTAAAAAAATTAATTTGGTTTCTGGTTGTTGGAGCAGTACGGCAAACGATCGAGCTCCACTGCTTGAAAGTAAATCTATGCAGAACGCTGTCATAAGGCTGCCTGTTGAAGGAATTCAGGCTACTTCAAGCAATCTGTTCTCAAATGAAAGTAGTCTAACGTTGCAAGCAGAAACTATTCTCAGACCAGAATGTAATGATTCCTTCAATCAAAAGAACTTGATTCCCACCAGCGACCCAAATCCGCAGCTTAAACTTGTAGCGGTTAATGCGAGCACTCAAAGTACTTCAAAATCTGTCATGGAAGCTGTCAATGGATCTCCAACGCCATATCGACAATTGTCCGCAGCAAACTCTAGCATGGCCAGCCTTCTTGGGCCAGATATGAATGATCATGGAATTCAGGTTGGTGTAAGACTAGTCCCTACTAGCGTTGAGATCAAACCAATAAAAGTGGAGAATATGGAGGCTGTTTTGACAAGCAAAACTACCCGAAGTTCCAACGATATTGACGTCAGTGCTATTCTTTGTACCTCTGGTATCCACTATAACGAAGTGCTAGCTGAAGCCTCAGGAGTTCACGTTGTCCAGATCGATAACGGCGATGATATCTCCCTTAATTACTGTGGCGATCGCTTTACAACCAGTAAAATTGTAAGGAAAAATGGTGAAATTGCCAGTTCAAGTGCTGATGGAAACAGATCTTGGATGGAACATGGTGTCTTTTCAAAAACGTCTGCTAATTACTTACAGCCCTCGAAATACGACAATCCAGATTTCAAAGCACACGAAAGTGGCGAATTTGTAACCGCGCTGCGAGTCAAGGATGCACAGTATTCGGCAGAGCACAGTCTTGTTAGCGGTTTTATGCAAGACAAAGTCAGTTTGAATGGGAAAGTTGACTTCGTGTATAGTCATATCGAAACTCGTGACAAGGACGTCCAGGTTGGCCTAAAACTCGTTCCTAAAGCTGTCACAGTCGAATCAGTTAGAATGGAGAATTTTAACGCTGTGAATGAGGGAAAAGAAATGGGTGATGTAGAGCAAATCAGTGCTAGTGCAATGTTGTGCTCAAAACCAACACAATATGACGAAATTTTGACGGAATCAAAGGGAGTCACTGTTCTTCCAATCGAAGCAGCTAAAGATATTCAAATTGCACATGAGAGGAAAACATACCACGCCACGGTTGAACCAAGAAGAGATCTTAGCCAACAAGGATCCTACGCTGGCACACATGCAGACCCTAGTAATGCATATTTTGCAGGGCCACAGACCCGTATTCGTGTTCATCACACCCAGTTTTCCGCAAAAAGTGACCGTCAAAACATTGACCTTATTTGTGATAACAGTAGACCCAAAGTAAAGATTGATTGTACTACACAAGTTGGGGCCACTTTTATTCCCACTCAGATAAAAATGCAACAAGTGCGGCTTGACACGCAACGCGTACAAAGTCTGACCGGATCTTCAAGGACTGAAACCGTTTTATGCCCTACGGATATGAGCATCTTCCCTATACTCAATGAGTGCTCCGGTGTCCAAATAGCCGCGACCGAGTGCGTTTCTGAAATTTTAATCCAAATGGCTCAAGGACAATTTTCGACCGAAGTACTGAATGATTCACGTTCCAAGCAGATGTGTATTGCACTTAAGAAGGAATCGATCCCCAAGTCAAGAGAACTCTCCAGTGAGGTCATTCCACTTCTAAAGCCGACTGTAGGAGTTGACGAAACTCAGAGGACTGAGTCAATGAATCGAATGACAGGTTCAACTGCATGCACAATGAGCTCTAAATTAGTTCAAGTGGGAACCCTGCTCATACCTACAGGGATCACCATGGAAAAAGTGAAAGTGAATAATCTCGAAATTGAAGTACCATTGAGTCCTGTTAGAAGCGCTGAAGTAAGTGTAAGCGCGGTTCTTGCATCTTCCGCGACGGAACTGATATCTGTCTTAACAAGCGAATCGGGCATTCAGGTTGTCCCTATGTCCAAAGTTGATGCGATCGGAATTCACGTGAACGGAGAGAGGTATATAGGAACAGTTGATGCTTCCGCCTTTACACCATCCACAGAAACCTTCCAAAAATCTGGAGGTTTAGTTGACTCAAGCTCCACTTGTGCTCAGGATACGCAAAGGATAGTAATTCCCATATCAGGATCGAATATGATTAGCAGTACACCAAGAAACGTGGAAGGTTTGCTGCGGAAGAGTAAAGATTTGAGTCAACTTCACGAAGCACTCCACTCCGTTCAAACCAGACCGAGTCTCCGAGAGGCGAACTCTTTGTCAGTTCCTTCCTACTGTCGTCCTGGTCTGCTCCGAGTATCAGAACAACACACCACTCCTGTGACCGGGTTGATGACGATACCTCCCAAACGTCCTGTTGTGGAAACTAGAGACGATTCAGTGCAGGTTGGACTTAATCTTGTGCCCCAAATGGTTGAAGCTCGTGTTGTAAAGCCAGGTGATGAGGAGGCTGCACTGACCCAAATTCCAGGTATTACGGTAGCAGAATTTAAAGGTAACATGTCTGCTCGCTATAACAACACCGAGTACCAGGTGGAATTAGGCAGCGATGCTTCTATTCCTCTTGTAAATAGGCCTACTTCCCCTTATCGAGACAAATCAGTGCTTGAGGTGTCCCGTAAGTCATACATTGAGAAATCTATGTCTGGCATTCCAAAGATGCGTGAAACCTCCATTGGCCCAGTAAATAAACGTCTAATTTCATCGGCTTCCCAAGTGGGCACTCTACTGGTTCCAGTAAAGGTGTGTATGGACAAAATTGCTGTCGACCAGTTGGCTGTCGATATTCCGTTGACCGAGTGGCGAACAACAGATCTGAGCGTCAGCGCAATTCTCGCCTCGACTGCCACTGAAATGGTGCCGGTAATCACAGATACGACCGGAATTCAGATTATCGAAATGAAGGATCTTGAAGAGCTCGGAATCCAGGTCGGGGATGAAGTCTATGTCGCTAGTGTTGTGGCACCACCAGTAAAGTACGTGAATGCGGCCTATGGTCCTACAAGGGAGTTTGCTGTTGGAGCTAAAAGTAGCAATCGAAAACAGGAAGTTGTTTTTATCTCTGCTCCAAAGACAAATGAGACAGCTCATTTGACGCACAAAGCGAAAAACCTTCTAGACCAGAGTGCCGAATTACGAAATGTCCACTCCCTTCTAACATCTTCATCTTTCCAACCACGCTTACGCATTATGTCAAAAAGTGGTACTTCTATACCTTCGGCGGAAGGTATAAGTGCTCAACAGTCGACGACATCCAGGCCTTCTGAACATTCAATTTACACCTGCCCTTGTGGCCGTCAGTATGTCTCCGCTGACTCCAGTTGCCGTCCAATCACAGGCGTTTGCAACTCTCGCGACACACGTGGAGTCGTGGCGGGTAGATCAGAGTCTGCAACCGAAAAATCGAGAATTCAAGAATCCTACCATGTTGCATGTGAAGCTACTATCAAACCCGAAATGTTTTCAAAGCGTCTCACCGCAAATGTTCACACTTCATCCAACGATGTGAGATCTCAGTTCAATTCTGCTGTTCCGAGAGAGAGCTCTTCTGTGGGCGGAACTACTGATATGCCAGAAATGAATATCAACCAAGAAACTCAGCTTGTACCGGAGACCATGACTACCCGTGAAGAGCCACTGTTACGAGCGGGCACACACTGTACAGTAATGCATAGGGATTCACTCGCAATCCCCACTTCGTCGAAAGGAATATCAAGAGAGGGAGTCTATGTAACGGATTTAATTGAATTCGGGGATTCGCAAGCACATTTCGGTCACCAACAGGCTAACGATATGACTTTGGAAACACTGCGTGGTACAAATGAGGCTGCAACGATAAATCAAACCCCAAAACGCACTCATTCTGCTGATTCACGCCCGCAAAAGATGGTGGAGCATCTCTGTGTTAATTGCCAAAACAAATTGTTGCTGGCGGAAACCAGTACGGCAGAATCCCATGATTCAAATTCTGTTCAGGCGGCGATTATAATTAGACGAAGCTCTGATGTGGATCTTTTTGAAACCTCCCATTCCACTTCTATAACCGAGGCTTCGATCTTTCAACGCAGTTTCTTTCCAAGAGACTCGGGAAAACGTTTATCAGGATCATTCGAGTCTTTGGGGAGCCAGTTAATGACAACGAAATGCGTAATGTGTCATATCGACTTGACATCTGGCGACCTCAGTACGTCTATAAGAACAAGCACTTCTAGTCTTTTGGCCTCTGAGGCTGTGGTTAATACGAGTTTGAAGGAAGTTGCTAAGGCGTATGCGCGGATATGCCGGGCAACCGGGCAATTCGAGGATTCCGCTGAACCAAAAGAGCGTACATCTCTTTATCAAGCTTTGAAGCATAATCGAATAATTCAGGCTGTGATTGCGGACTATGAGAAGGATAAAAATAAGGAAGGATTATTCTTCATAGAGTCCAAGGAAATTGCCGATGTTGTAGCGACGACTGATAGGCAGACCAATTATTGTCCAAGTGAACCATCAACGTATTCTTGTTTAAAAAATAACACTTTGGTTAAAAAGGTTGTTGAAAGCTATAAGGCCTACAAGCACAATCAAGGCAAGGACAATTGCACGCAAACTGGACCAACACAACTAGTGGGAGTCACATTTGCTAGTAGTGATGTCCAGAAAGTTGCTGAGGTGGTAGAAGCATTCGAGAAATCGGAAGGACAAGTATCGTCGAAAGGGGGTCTCTATGCAAATCTTAAAGAAAATCCTATTATTCAACGAGTAATCAAGGAATACGAAGTCAGCAAAGGCGCATACGCAGCAATGGAACCAAGTATAATTAGAGCAGAGGCAGAACATTCTTCTACTGCTGCCTCAAAAATAGGAATTATCAGTGTTGATGGTCAGGTGGCGAAAATGGAATCGGAGCAATTCGCTTCTACGGATTCGATGACTCGAAGCAATTTCCCGATCATCAGAAGAATACAGAGGAGCAGAGCAAATGAGAATCTCATCTCTTCCTCAGTCAGCAGTGATTCGGACTATGAAGACAATGCTCAAAACTGGACGCCCACTCAACGCTCTCCTACCTCATCGGGGGAGCAAACCCGATTTGACGTGACCTGCTCAGCCCTCATAACACCGGAGACATGGGACAAGAAAGTCCAAGTCGACTCAACGTATCAACATTGATGCCTCCTATTATCATACCCCGAACTTAACTACCATTGGAAGATTCTATTTGTATCCTGCCTACTTTTTAAAAACACTTTCAAGGCCATTTTTTTCAAATAAATTTCTTTATACTGAATGACTGTCTTTAAATACCCATAGGGACATTCAAAACCACTCTTTTTGGATCAGTGCTAATGTATTAGCTGCACGTCATTGAATTTGATGGAATTTTTTGCCTTAGCATTTGACCATTTTCTTGATTTGCTTATCCATCAAAATGAATGCCGATATGTTCAAACCACCAAATCGGAAGGGGAAAATGTTACCGATTGAATGTTATAATGCTTACATAAGTTTGACAATATTTTCATGGAACTTTTGGAAGGAAATATGAAATAACTACATCAAATTCTAAAATAGCCACTGATAAGAAAATTTTTGGCCTAAGTTCGTAATTAAAAAGTGTAACTCTATGCGTGCATGGTCTTTAAAAGCTACATTAGAATTATACTATGTACAGTGTAAAACGTTGGTTGTTTGTTTAACCCCTGGTCTCGGTAAGGAGCTACTGCTGCGCTTCACCATTGTAAATTCACCGGGTGGGCAGGCTTCTGGATCATGTTAGTAGCCTCCCAGGCCTTCTCAATGCCAAATGTGTATGTTATGTCAAGGTATTATGTCGTCTTTCGTCTTTAGGGCACTCTTGGACAAATACGCTGAATTTCTTTTATAAGTAGCATCCATTATTTTTCAAATATGGCAACCAACTGGAAACATTAAGATTGGCTTCGACTCTACTTCATGCTCACAAACTATACTCCAATGACGTCTGAGACTTCGGCTCATGTTTGACAGAGAAAAAAATTAAAAGAATAGTAAATAGGATTTTAGAATTGCCTTTGCGACTATTAGGTAAATTTAACATGGCTTATTTTTTTCCAAATAGGTGATAATCGATGCATTTTTTATAAGTTAGTTCATTTGAGCATCCGATTTTTAAAGAAGTTTGAGCAAAAAGTATGCTAGGACAACTAGAGTAATCCACCAATCGGTCTGTGATAACATTGAAGTGGGCTTATTACAATGACAGAAGTGTTAAAAAAGATCTTTTCGCGATATAAATACAGGTTATTGACGAGTGCTATTGATGCTTTCGTGGAAGACACTTCTTCCTCTTTCAATCACAAACCGGATCTACAAAATGGATGATCTTTATAATTTTCTCCCAAAATTTTCTACTAATAATCATTACTACTCTTTTAATTGTCCCATATAATTAACAAGAAATTTGTCGACGCAAAGTATTACTGAGGTAGCTAAAGGCATGAGGTTTGGGTTAAAATAGCAGCTTATGCTACGAACCCTACGTTTACGCCTTCCACCTCTCAAAAAAAATTTTTTCAATTTTTCCCACTAAACATAAACAAGTAATTTTAGTTCAAGCGTGGAGAATGAGTAAAATAACCGCCCATTGAAGCCCCAGTTAATAAACCAAGACTCCTTCGAAACCTTTTAGTTGTCGTAGACTCTACAGTAATGCCATAATTTAATGTGGAATGCGAGAATTGAATGGGATGTCAGCTGAGAAAATGGGGCGACCTGACTATTTACATGCTTTGCAATTATGTAGACACAAAATTTCCAGAAAAGCGTAATTACGAGGATATATGCACTGGATTTTAAAAAATCCTTCGCGCATCTTAATAAGAAGTGGTCCAGGTTTCGTGAGAAATTGCGACTTACAAGGTCTCTTAGTTTTTTGCGCAGCCCATCCATTCGTATCGCTCTTCTTCATCTCTGCGATCAACTGCTGACATTTTTCACCCAAAAGGATTTTGAAATCATGCCGCTGTAACTTAATCGAGGAGGGGAAATGCTTTAATCATTCATGTGAAGAAACAGAATTGATGAATGCGGCTTATTAGTTCAGCTCCGGGTAAACGGAGGAAGGGATGAAAGTAGGGGCGCGATGATAGCCTGATGCCTTAGTATCTGAAGGGCTTCTACTGCTTCTCTTAATACTGGTTGAATTCACTCAGACAACCTCAGTGTACTTAGACAGGAGCATGAAACGCTTTCAATCTGACCTTTTTAAACATGCGGATATTTGATATAGCTGGAGAATAAAACAACGGTCAGAAA